CTGTGCTAGTTTGCCAACAGTAAGGGTAGCCCAACGAATAGTGACTTGCGTGGGTGTTGCTACTGCGCGGTAGATGTATGCATGAAAGTGTTGCGGATACAATCTGATAAACTATACGACCCCAGGTCATGATAGGTAAGCCGACTCACAGTTAGACATCCACGTGACAAGACCTTATATCATTGAATGACTTCGACACTTCCGTTGCTGGAAGACTCTCGACGATAGGCCAGCACTTGGGATCTTTCATAGTAGGTAAACCCGTATGTTTTACAAGGCGTGGAAGTGTGCAATGAACTTGAGCAATATGACCGGTCCACTGGCTGTGATGTGGCCTTATTGGATCAAGATTCGCCGGGACCGCCATTCGCAGGGTCGTCATTTGCCTGTGATCTTAGACTGTGCTTTGATGTACTGCAATATCTCTAGGAATACTAGTTGCTCATATAGAACGAAAGGGTATACCACACACGGTAAGACGCAGATAATATACCTATCTGCTCTAGGATGCTCTATAGTATCTTTAACTCTCACGCTAGCAGTATAACTTCACTAATACAGTAATAGATATCCCTGTACCCTAAGAGTAAGGCTTTGAACCTCAGTATCCAGTGTTGTAGCTCTTCAGGGGCTTGGATAGGAGAGGCTGCATGCTGGGCGCGTGGAAGATGCTCTGATTGCCAATGTCTAGCATTTATCCACATGGGAGTTAGTTGTCTGGAAAGTCTTCCGAAGTACTCAACAGGTAAACGCCGGGACAAGATGAACACCTGTTCAGTCAGGGTGCACGCCACCTACCCTTCATCTCTGGATGACGTCCCATGCGTCATGTCTTAATGTATTTTGATACGGAGCCGACTTATTTTCGTCTAGATAGCTACAATTGAAGCGTCTAACTCAGAATACATGGCGTGGATATCATTGAAAGAGACCTCCCTTCCACAAGACCTCGAGTCTTGGTGTCATGTGCCCACCTACTGTCAAACAGGCCAGAAGGGAAATCCGCTGTGCTCTGACTGTGGCTAATCAGCGTACATACGCAACACTATCCATTAGCCTGGACTAGAGCACCTCTATAGGCCAGGCTGCCCACAGTCATATATGGTACGGTCCTACTTTTCTCGCCGGGCCTCAACGAGCCTCTGTACCTCCCTGTTGGGTGTACTGCGTGTGGGATATTCTCTCCTAGCTGATGTCAATAGGGTTCAAACTGTGCGCTCGAAGAGCGAGGACTCGTAACCTAATCAAACAGACCAAAAGGTGAATCCACTGTGGTCTGAATGTGGCTAATCGGCGCATATACGCAACACCTACTATGGGCTCTTGACATAGGTGACCTGACCTGCGAGGGGACAAATCAGAGCAATAAAAACCGGGATGGACACTTAGACAGCGGACTGATATCAAATTGTTTGATAGAGTCAGCATGCAATCTGAAATCCTGAAATCTAGCTTCATAGGCACTCTTTGTCAGCCTTGCCAGATCGAGCTTTTGAGTTACGCTTAGGGCACGCAAGGTCGCTAGTGGTTCCCTTCTGGCTTTGAACGAAGCATGGCTATCGAGGCTTACTCAAAGATGGACTGGCGTCTCACAGAGCTAGTTGATTCATTTGGGTCTCCTATCATCCTCGAGAGCTGGCTCCCGTTCATGTCCTAAGGCCGACCCTTCCGCATCCGCCGTATGAACCTCATGGGAAGAAGCAAAATGCAAAAGCCCAACAGCATGAGACGTCGAGACGACGTCGCTCAGAGAAGAAGCTCACGACTGGGAAGACTACGGATCGTCACAGCCGTGTTGAAGCAGCCGCCTGTCCCCGTTTGTCCTGACCGGCCTGCGCAGCCCCCAGAAGCACAACTGATCACGAAGCTACCGCCTGAGTTGATCAAACACATTATCGAACACTTGGACAGTGTGAGGAAAGCCTTGCTTTCCCCAAGTATCCAAGTCGTTCGAAGTCTTCGAGGAATGGTCACGAGCAGAGAGGGCTCGGTTCATCGACTGTCTCATTCACGACAAAGCCCACAGGTGGGCGTGCGAAGAGTGTGAGAGATCACATGCCGTCAACTTGCGCGACCTGCGTTACCACCCTGAACTATGTAATTGTGGGTGGCTGCGCAGGTGTAGTTTTAGCCTCGTACTATTCGAACTCGACCGTGCGTGGCCGCCTGCCGTAGACGGACGGCATGTACAGCTGGCGTTGAAGTATGCGAGACTATAGTCATCACTCTCAACGCAACAAGAGTATTATCTATCGGGGCTCTTGTCGACATATCTGGGCTGCATGCGTGCAAACCACTCCGGACGACAGACACCCTCCTACAAATGTCAACTATTTCCTAGGATTGTCCACTCGAGATTCATGCTTAGAGTAGTCTATGAGTTCGCTCCCTGTAATTACCACTGCCTCAAAATCTCTACACGTATGCCAAGGGTTAAGGTGGAGGCTGTTGTGATGAACATTTGCCCTCGTCAAAGCCTCATGCGTTCCGCGCAACATGGATATATCTGCGTGCGCTAACTCAAATTAAGCATCCCATCAAGCATCAGCCACAGGACGTGGCACACGGAGTGCGAAGAGGCCGCTCGGACTTTGTTCACCCTTTAGGTGACAGCCGCTGAAGGTGTGCGTGGTGACTGTCCATTCTGCGCGACCGACTTTGTCGTCAGCAGCACGCAGACAGCAATGACCGTCGAGACCTGGTACGATTATGGTGGCGAGGGCAAAGTTCGTACACATGCGCTACCAGTCAAACGCATCTACTTGGAGCCGCCAGACATGGACGGGCATTCAACGATCCATCCGACAACGCACGGCGATGTGCGCCAGATGTATGAGACGGGATAGCCTGGTTTGTTCCACCGACGACTCTTTGCAATTGCGTAAGGAGACGGCTGAGAGCCACAGTATTGCCATGTCAAGCATCTCGACAATAGAATACTACGTTCCTGGTCCACAACGCTGGGGGTATAGTCAAAGTTGACCGTCCACAGAGGGATCTGAATCTTTATAAGCTAAGTAGCCGGGATGAAGGCTGGTAATATGAACCAAATAGTATTTTGAAATGGCAAGCCTGGTAGATTCGAAGGCATGTCAGTGTGATCTATGCAAGTGCAATGGCGTTGACGGACTGATAGTCTCATACCGCGTGGATTCCACCGACGTCTGTCTTCTCGAGTCTCGACATGTCAGCAAGGGCGTAAGGAACGAGAGAAACCTGGAGGAATGCGGGATGTGTGAACCAACCAACCGGGTGGCAGGGTTCGCATATTCGTCACCATTTTAGGCAAGTCAGATTGTTTCGTCTCGCGCCAAACGAGTACGTCAGGTCGGTGGGACTGGTACGCTGAGGCACAAAGGTGGTGCGGCACGGGACCCCGGGGGGCGATCCAGATTTCTTCTTCTAAGAACCGAGGAGCCGAATCGCATGTGAATTCCGGACCGACGCGTGCTATTATTGTCGAACTACAGTACTACGGACCACATGTATGGAGTAAGAGAGTATGAACCTGAACTTGGGAGTGGACGGACGCGGACTTTGGCCTCAGATCGAACCCCGCGTTCCCCTGGTCGGATCTGATCAGCTCCTAAAAAGATTCATGGTCATGATGGAAGATCAGTCAGCAGAGCAGCCGTTTGGAGTAGCCCCAAGATTATGACCTTGACTGCCCATGATCAGATAACCCGAGTGACGGTACCTGAGTCCTATCGATGTTGACGTGCGACATTGGCTTCAGGTTGCAGTAGGCACATGGGCATCTCCGCGTCCTTGTTGGGAACCTGCACTGTGGCCATTAATTGTCTATCGCATCCTAACTTATTATTAGCGTGATTGTGGTGGTTGTGAAGCAGCTGACCCTTCGTCAGGGTTGTCTTGATGGATAAGCAGTGAGCAGTCTGGGGTCTTCCCCGCATCTACGTACTCCGTAATTAGTTTGTTGAATGCCAAGGGGGGACGGCTGAGCAACGCTTGCCGGATCATTCATTTCTTCAAATTCAAGACCGCGGGAGGGCCATAGCTCGTTTGTGGTGAATCGGATCTTCCAAGCGTTTTTCATCGTCACCTCGCCTCACGTCGACTCGTGGGGACCTGCCTCTGAGCGGTGCTATCCATACAACGACGTCTCAATGTACATACGCGGACGGGAAAGCTCCCCACACAGCGTCTTGGTGAGGGTGAGCTTGCAGGTCTCGACTCCTGGGCAACAGCCCTACTCAGGCATCGTGCATTTCTTGGCCTTGTTGAGCAAGACAAGCTTTTCGCCAGGTCGAGTGACCGGCCTATAGGAGGAGGGGAGGGAAGGCTTGGTTCTGCTGCTGCTGCGCGTCGAAATATCAGGATCCCTGTAATCAAATGTCAAAGACGGCTGAGCGGCGTACCGCAGAAGGCCTCGTCTCATTGGACCTAGTCGGTAGCGTCACACGCGAGTAGACCTTGGCTCTTGGAATAATAATACTTTTCTTTGGTCGATGGCGATGTCAGAGGGCAACGACTGGTAACGCGTGTCGAAAGACTTCCGATGATCGACGATGTGGATGCTACAGGCCAAAGTGACGCAATTCCACAAGGTATCCATCCCTCACATCATTGTGCTGTGGCTCAGGTAGGTCAGGGGGGAGGTTCAGCCTGGCGTTACTTGGCCCTCTGGCGCTCGCGCTAAGCCACTGGAGCTGCAGGCTAGGTAGGTGAAGTGGACAACCCCAGACAAATGCCAAGCTCTACAACCAATAGGAAGCTTGCTTAGCTCTGTCCCATGGCCAACCGGTCCCGCCCCTCACAAGCTGGCCACTTCAAGATCTGTCTGTCGCCCAGCCTCCAACCTCCTCCTCCTTTGGTACTATAGACAGCTACGCGCGGCCCTCGTTCTCTTCCGACCTCCAGTTCCTCCTCCCGTAGTCGCCATTCCATACGGCAGAGCTCGGCAACCACAAGTGACAAGCTCGCTTCCTCTTCATCACCCAGCCGTCCTCGAGCGATCAACCTCGCGACCGACTGTCGTCATGGACCACACGTCGGGTATTATGCCCTTGAACCAGGTGCACAAGCCGCCGTTCACCGTGGAAGCCAGTGGCTACGACAAAGTCCCTGGCGAGACGATTCCCCGTCGTCATCCTCGATTCAAAGATGCGTTGCGCAACTCGCCTGCCGAGGGCGTCCACACCGTCTACGACATTGTCAAGCGCAGCGCGCGCATCTACCCCAACCACACGGCAGTCGGCTACCGCAACCTCGTGAAGCTGCACAAGGAGACCAAAAAGGTCCAGAAGAACGTGGACGGCGAGGTCCGCGAGGTTGACAAGGAGTGGCAGTTCTTTGAGCTGACCCCTTACACCTTCTACACCTACACTCAATACCTGGAGCGCGTCCACCAGGTTGGCGCTGGCCTGCGCAAGATTGGCCTCACCCCCGAGCACAAGGTCCATCTCTTCGGCACCACCAGGTTAGCTCTGCGCGACTTGATTCATGGCAGCAATGCTAACTCGATATCAGTGTCAGCTGGATCACCATGTCGCACGCCTGCGCCTCGCAGTCCATCTCCATCGTCACCGCCTACGATACTCTCGGCGAAGAAGGCGTTGCGCACTCTCTGGTGCAGACCAAGGCCAGCACCATGTACACAGACCCCCATTTACTCAAGACCGCCGCGGGTGCTATCCGCAAGGCCAATGTCAAGACGGTCATCGTAAATGCCGATAATGTCTTTGCCAGCGGTGGCGAAGTTGATGAGTTCAAGAAGGAGAACCCAGACCTCACCGTCTACACATACGAGGAGCTACGCAAGCTCGGCGAGGAGAACCCAGTCGATCCCGTTCCTGCCAAGGGCGAGGACCTCTACTGCATCATGTACACCTCTGGATCGACCGGTCTCCCCAAAGGTGCCTGCATCAAGCACGAGTCCTTGGTGGCTGGTGGTGAGTACATCCGATTAACCACATACACGGCACCCAGCTAATTCCTCTTTTAAGTGACCGGCCTCCTCACCAACGTAGAAGAATGTGTCAGCGATAAGGAGGTCATTCTAGCCTACCTTCCCTTGGCTCACATCTTCGAAATGGCCCTCGAGAATTTGGTCTTGTCGATCGGCGGCACTCTGGGATACGGCAACCCCCGAACTCTTTCAGATACCTCAGTCAAGAACTGCGCTGGTGACATGCGCGAACTGAGGCCGACCGTCATGGTCGGTGTGCCCCAGGTCTGGGAAACCATCAAGAAGGGCGTCATGTCCAAGCTCGACACAGCAAGCCCTCTGCTGCGCAACCTTTTCTGGGGAACCATCAGCTACAAGAGCTTCATGTCCAAAAACAAGCTACCCTTCGCAAGTGCTCTCGACAACATTGTCTTCAAGAAGGTCCGTGACTTGACCGGTGGCCGTCTACGCTTCACCATGAACGGCGCTAGCGGTATCTCCGGCGAGACCAAGCATTTCCTGTCCCTTGTCCTGGCCCCGATGCTGGCTGGATACGGGTTGACGGAGACTTGCGCCAACGGTGCTCTGGGCTGCCCTCTCGAATACTCTTCCACGGCTATTGGCCCGGTCCCCGCCTCTATCGAAATCAAGCTGGTCGCGATCCCCGACATGGGCTATGAGACGGATAAGAAGGGACAGGCCGCTCAGGGCGAGATCTACATCCGTGGAAAGCCAGTGATGACCGAGTACTTTGAGAACCCCGAAGAGACCGCCAAAGCCCTTACTCCTGATGGTTGGTTCAAGAGTGGTGATATCGGTGAATTTGACAAGGACGGTCACCTAATGGTCATCGACCGCGTCAAGAATTTGGTCAAGATGCAGGGCGGAGAATACATCGCTCTGGAGAAGCTGGAGGCTGTCTACCGTGGCACCCACTGTGTCACCAACGTCATGATCCATGCAGACCCCGAGCACTCGCGCCCCATTGCCGTCATAATGCCCAACGAGAAGGTCCTTGCTGAAGAGGCCAAGAAGTTGGGCGTTGACGAGCACAACATGTACGACGACAAGAAGGTGAACTCCATGGTGCTCAAGGACCTCCAGAACGCCGGGCGCCGTGGCGGTCTGACCGGCATGGAGATTGTCGCCGGTGTCGTGATCACAGACGAGGAATGGACCCCTCCTAGTGTAAGCCCCTGCCTCCCCGAGCCATCATCGAAGGATGAAAAGCTGACAAATCACAGGGTCTGGTCACCGCCACACAGAAGCTCAACCGCAGGGCTATTCGCGATACCTTTGCCAAGCAGATCGAAGCGCGCCTTAAGTCGCTGTAAGTGGTGCGCACGGGCGCCGCAAGGGCGCCGTTGTGAGGCGTGGACATGTAGCGTGAGAGTAGAGTACTGAGCGTTCCCGACACTGTTCGTCATAACCAATTCTTCGTACTGTTCGACCGATTCTTGTTCTCGGCAGAGGGTTTTAATATAAGCTGGCGTTGCTCAAGATATCTATTTGCCGTTTTGCTGCAGCTTGGATAACCTCGTCCTCGCGTTTTATATTATTCTGAGATGTATGCAGAGACATTTAGCAGCACGGAGGCGAGAGTTCAAGCAACAGTACAATGAGTAAAACTGGGAGATTGTTCCTCCAAGGAAGGTAAATCTGGATTAGGCTCATCGTAGTCTCGTGCTATAGATTCTTGCGTCATGTCTCAAACGAGAGTCATGACAGAAAACAAACGCCCTCGCCATGCAAACGCCATGATAAATCTAGTGTGGTATCTGGTTGTGTAGAAAGACACGCCCATTCAATCATGTAAAATCCGCAGAGCGCACAGTCCAAAGTCCGCAACGAAGCGTTCACGCCTGCCCGACACCTCAAGCTCCGCTCTTCATCCTAAACAAGGCCACGTACGGAGTACGAGAGCCATCTCTGAAAACCTTATTCGCATGGTGGCCCTGCAAGTTGGCCTTGGTGATCCTAGAGTCGTCGCAATACAGCCACGCAGACCCGTGGGTGCGCGGATCGCGCACATACGCTGTGTAGTGGCCCGAGTTGGTCGTGTCACCATAGTGCTCCACGACGGCTACGCATTCGTACTTGAAGGGTCCCATGAACGCCTTGTCGTCCGTTCGCATCTTGTCAGGGACTGAGTTCGGTCGGGGATGGAAAGGTGCCATGTCCAGCGTGTCAAGATCCCACGTTACCTCGGCCATGATCTTGCTCTGGCGAGAGATACCGTATCTCTGGATCGTGACGAGCAGCAACGCCGGCATCCGGGGGAAGGCTCGCTGGATCGTCGCTGTCCTGTCCCCCGCACGGCATGCGTCGCAGTGGAATCCCGTCAATTCCTCGGGAGCAGTGTAACGGCGGATCAGCTTCTGCAGCGTGAGCTCGCGGTCATGCGCGTCACGCTCATTGAGGTACAAGACGAGTTGCTTGATGACCCCCCATCTGTAAGTCGTGGTCTTGCACGTTTGACAACACACTGACTGGACTTCCATAAGCCCACAATGTTGATCACTGATGGACCGCGAGGAGTCGCAGTATTTCGACCAGTACTCCAAGGCACCGTCGAGGACTGACTTGTTGCGCATGTCGAGGGGTTTGTCCAAGTCAAGGGCAAGTACGTGTCTTTGCCTGTTGGTTTCTCTGTCCAGTTCATCCAAGACGAAACTCATAAATTCATGGGCGTCGTGCTGTTGTGAGTCGCCGAGCACTTCTTTGCTCTTGTCATGCGTCGTAATAGATCGCGTGTAGTTCTAGGCGATCACGGTCAGCGAGAGTTCTCTGCTTAGCTTACTTAGCTTAAGGGGATGCTCACCATCAAGGTTGAAGCCTTCATCACTTCAAAATTACCTGTCTCCATCCAATGAAACAAGGTTGACAGAATCTGTGTCATAAGTTGAGCTTGATCCGACTGCTCCCCCTTCTTCCGTGGTACTTTGTATGTTCGTGCCCAATCAGTATACAGCAGTTCTCTGCCAATGCTCGAGACAATCAGCGACTGGAGGACACTGTTCGCGTAACACCAGTTGTGCGGGTTGTTCAGGCCGGTATATACCCTTTCCTTCTTCGTGGTCATCTGATCGAACGGTTTAGTTGTCCGTGCTGATGCTACTTGGGCGCCCGCATCTCTATTGGAAACGCCATCGAGCGGGTCTGAGCTTATGGCGTTACCGCTGTGATTTGGCCGCGACACAGCTGGCTTCGGTTGTGTGAGAGGAGCGGGCAGACCCTCGACTGCATGCCTGACTGGCTGGTACTCGAGAGGCTTTGTAGGCCTCGGTGGTCCTGCCGGCTGGCGTGGCAACTCTGAAGCGGGAGTGGACGACATGTCCTCTGGTTCCCTGCTCACCTCTGGGAACCTGCGCAAGAAATCTTCTGTAGTCCTATAGTGCTCGGTTGAAGCAGCCTTCTCCATCTCTTCGGTTCTCAACTTTTCTTGCCATGCCCTAACGTCATCCGGAGCCATGGGTCGTGCTCTGTATTTTGACTTTGTGCGGTTAATGCGCAGGCTAGCAGCATTTGTGCTTGAATCACGCGTCGACTCCAGCCCTTGCGGGCCCAGAAGATCAGCCCAGGCTTCGAGTCCACCCTTTAAGAGCAAGGGAGTTTGCTTGAGTTCACGGGCATAGCTGAGATGAACCAACGCCCTGTGCAAAGACATGATAGCAATCTCGTCTGCTGTCCGCGCCACCACTGGATATCCTTTTGAAGTATCATCATAGAAGACGACAAGGTCGAACTCATCCCTTCTCTCAAACAAGATCTGGTCTTGCCCTGGCGATAGGACCAGGCTCTCGGCAATGTCGTCTGCATTCAAGTCCGGCCTTGTCAGGATGTCCGGCTCGATGCAGATGATGGACCTGGACATGATGTGGCTGTCATCGAATTGTTCCCGGGAGCGAATGTCAATAATGAGAATGTTTTTGGTCTTCATGGCCTTGAAAAGCTCCTCGGCGACTATCGTACGCTTCGCTAGATCCACGGAGTGTCGGGGGGACGAAGCCGCAGAAGATTCCTTGAGTATGCCATTGGTCGGCGCCGCAGGCTCTGAAGTGATTGAGTTTGAGTATACGGGTGTAAAGTAGTCCTTGCTGGGTGGTAGAGATGATGCACTCGGACTGCAGGATGTCGATGTACTGGAGCCCGTCCGACTGAACCCTCGGGGTGTGCTGCTCGGCATCCGGACCGACTCTTCTGACATGTTGCCGCGTGCAGGGCTGTAAATAGCATTGGGCATCTGAGGAAGAGAAGGGACCGAACTGTCGATGCCAATGGTGGGCCTCTTCAGTTGTCCTGGCGGCATCTCTCGCGGACCGACGGGTTTCAGAGGGTGTGCGAACGCGTGCGTCTTGATTCGTGGATCCTGCCCTGGTGAAGCTGCCGGGCCTTGTAATTTCGCAAACCGAGCGGCTAGCAAGTCGCTGCTTGCGGATGATGCACGCGCATGATTGCTCTTTAAAGCATTGCCATGCAGAGCCTGAGGTTTTGGGCGCACCTCTGGCTTTCTTGCCGGCGCCGGAGAAGCGCCATCCAGCGGTTGATTCGACGGTTTGACAGTAACGTTGCTGTGAGAGGAAGATGAAGAGGCCGAGCTAGGCCGGGGCACAGATCGTTGAACCCCCGTGACACGGTTGTTCTCAATGATTTTCTTCTTGATACCATCGTATTGAGGCCACAGGCCTTTGATTTGTTGCAAAAGGGCTATATGCTTTTTATGCAGCTGGCTGCTTTGGTTGTGTTGAATTTCGGCGTAATCACGGTGCCCCTCGATCGTTTGGACGGCGATGATGTACGAGCGCAAGTATCCTTTGAGTGCCTGCACGTCTTTGTTGAACTCGCGCATCAACTCAGCAGTCTTCAGGGAGGACTCGCATTGTTCCAAAAGCTTCTTGATGCTCTGGTTCCCGTCAATGTCGCGAGGCGCCGCGGTTACATCATCAATGTGAGGCAGTGGCTGCGCAGTACCGCGCGCGGGACTTGCATTGGGCAAGCCGTTCGGTGCCGGCGAGGAGGCGTGGTTGATGGCAGCCATGTGCCCTTTGTAGCAAAGGCGCCACGGTAGATGGAAGGTCGAGAGAGTGTGGATTTTGTATGCGATTGGTATGCGAGCGATCTGCGACAGATTCTATAGCACGCAAATTCAACTCCACATGCAGGGCAGAAAGCAGATGGCGACCGTAGTAAGTATCAGGGTAGCACAGAACTTGAGCTCGTCCACAGTGTATGAGTCGAAATCGAGATCGTTTTGCCGACGTTGACAGCGTGTTTCCGATGTGGTCTCAGGTCATCGCCCAGACTATGGATGGTTGTCTTTGCTGGTAAGGAATCATATTTTACAACGACAGACAAAGGAGCGACGTCTGGTCAGCCGTCCACGAGCCAGAGCTGCTTTGCGTCGAGCGGTCGGTCGTCTGTCGTAACAAGGTGGCGGAGAACAAGTACCAAGGTGGTGTCGCTGAAGGCCAATTGTGGAGGCTTGACGACTGGACTGTCGTCACGTCGGGCGTAGCTGTGGCGTCCATGTGGTGTGTACAGCCAAGACCCCTAGAGGAACCTGACTCCTCCCGCAGTTCCGCGCGGCAATCAAGTACACATTGGCTTGCTGCTTGTACATGTCCCAGAATCTCATCCCGTGGCCCAACCCCGCTAATGCTAAAGCGAGGTACGGATACCGTTTGGCATGCTATTCTCGTTGCCTGGCCCTCGACATGATAAGCGCGTCCGTCGACATGGAAATTCCGACAAGACTGATACCAGAATTCATCTGCTGCCACTGTCTCTATGGACAGCCCGCCAGAGGACTCGGACGAAGCGTGTCCCTATCATCTTTGGCCAACCGCCTCTCAGCCACAACTGTATAGGAAGACAAACGGCGAGGCGAATGGGGGAAGGCTGTGGCTGGGCCCCACCAAGGCGATCCCAGCTCCAACCACGGTCCACACGTCACTCATCGTTCCCCAAGCCTTCTAGGAGCTTCAGCCTAATCCATCCTACTACGTACCATCATTCGCACTCTCGACCTCAAGGCCCGCGGCATCGCTATCGTCGAGCAACGCAAGTGCTCTATACGCCCGCGAACACTTGTCCTTCTTATCTCCGTATTGCACCACTTGGTCTGGTTACGCACGTCGACTTGCCCACAATGATGAGCTGGTGGTCCGGCAACAACACTGCCCTGGATGCCCAGATTGAGAAGGCGACCAGCAGTAGCCTGTAAGGACGCTCCGGGTCCGTACGCGTTACACCTACTGACGAGATACAGTGAGGACATCGCACTCAACCTCGAAATATCCGACATCATCAGGTCTAAGACAGTCGGCCCAAAAGAATCTATGCGATCGCTTAAGAGGCGCATCGGCAATCCGAACCCCAACACTCAGCTCAGCGCCTTGAACGTGAGTCTTGAAGAACGCATTGGTCAGCGTACGTACAAAACTGACAAGGGCTAGTTGACCGATACTTGTGTCAAGAATGGTGGATCGCACTTCCTGGCCGAGATAGCGTCGCGCGAGTTCATGGACAACTTGACCTCACTTCTGCAAGCATCCGGGACAGCGGGAGTCAACCACGACGTCAGACAAAGAATGCTCGAACTCATACAATCATGGGCGGCTGCCACCGAAGGGCGCCATGACTTGTCCTACATCGGAGATGTCTACAGGAACCTGCAAAAAGAAGGGTATCAATTCCCCCCTCGGCAAACCGTCGCTAGTAGCATGATAGATAGCAGTGCGGTCAGTATAAGATCTGTGTGCAAGCAACGACGAAGCTAATGCGTGGATAGCCTCCCGAGTGGGCAGACTCCGATGTCTGTATGCGGTGCCGAACACCATTCTCGTTCACGAATCGGAAACACCACTGTCGAAACTGTGGAAACTGCTTCGATCAGCAATGCTCGAGTAAACTTGTCGCGTTGCCGCATCTTGGCATTCAGACGCCCGTGCGTGTCGATGATGGGTGCTATGCGAAGATTACTGGGAAAGGCCACAAGGAGCTTGATCGCTCCCCAACCTATCCCCATAAGCAAAGAAGCACGTCTGTGATGCAGCCACGCAACGCGCGTGTTGACGATGGATTTGACGAAGACTTGAAAAAGGCTCTTGCAATGAGCTTAGAGGATGCCAACGGTCAGCCTTCCGGGATGGTTGCTGCGCCAGCTACAGACAGCTTCAAGCCAAAGGGGGACGTCAGCGCCGCAAAACAGATGGAGGAGGAGGATGAAGATCTCAAGGCTGCCATTGCCGCGTCTCTTGCTGATATGGAAGAGCAGAAGCAACAGCATCTGGCGACCTTGAAAGAGCACACCTCAAATCCTCCCGTGTCTTCCACGACGACCAATTTTACGCTTCCCAAGAATGATTACGAGCTGTCGCCCGTTGAGGCCGAGAACATCAACCTTTTCTCAACCCTGGTCGACCGTTTACAAACACAGCCACCAGGTACGATCTTGCGGGAACCACAGATCCAAGAGTTGTACGATAGTATCGGGAGTTTGAGGCCAAAGCTAGCGCGAACGTACGGAGAAACGATGAGTAAGCATGGTAAGTCTACTAGATGATGAGACTTGGTAATCAGACCCGCTGACCTCAGTTGTTAGATACACTGCTTGATCTACACGCCAAGCTTTCGACTGTCGTTCGATATTACGACAAGATGCTTGAAGATCGCCTCTCGAAGGCGTATAGTCAGCAGAACCTCGGCGGATACCAGATGCCCGGCCATCGACAGCCATCAGGCCCCTATCCTTCATTGCCTCCGCAGCATTATCCACAACACGGGGGCGTCGAGAACTTCTACAACCCACACCATCAATCTTCGTATCCCCCACCGCAACCCCCCCAGCCTTGGCAGCAACCTTCTGCAGTGCCGACGCCACAGCCGCATCGTGCCTCGTACGGTCCCGTCCCCGGTGCCACTCCAGGCCAATACCCTGCCCAACCGCATCTTCAACGGACACCAAGCTGGCAGCAGCCGGCGGGACCCAACGGTCAAGATGCCCAGCAGCAACCACAGCATCAGCCAGGACAGCAGGAGTATCAAAGCATGCAGGCACCCCAAGCAGCAAGCGCTGGCACGCCGTCTCAAGATCCCCATGCCTCTTACTACTTTGGCAATCAACAGCCGGGCCAACCGCCTGCCGAACCATCAGCTCCGGGCGCAGCACCTGACGCAAGTCAATCGCCGTACCCGAACTTGCAGCAGAGTCATCCAGGTTTAGTCCCAGCGCAGCCACAATCTCAACCTGGTCAAACTCCAGCTCAGCCACAGACTGTTAAACCTCCCGCTGCCTTGCCTGCACAGCCCAGTCAGCCACCGTACTGGCAGCAGGCAACTCCGAACCAACAGCCAGGACCTATACCGACTGCGAACCCAGCCTATACTGGCTACGCACCGAATTCCTTCCCGAGTGTACCACAAGCAGAACCTACAAAACCGAATGCGCCCGAGGAAGCTTTGATTGAGCTTTAGGTGCATAATTCAAGCGCGACAGTGGTTTCTGCTCATGGCATTCTTGGGTGTCTTGGCGATGGCGTTACGGCGGACTGTTGAAATTTCTTGATGGCAGAGGTCATTCTCATCTTCACCTTTTGTTGATAGTAGAGGAAGAGCACACATCTCACTAGAGCGGGCTTCCTTCTTCCCCCCGGCGGTCATAGGGGTCGGGATGCATTTGACGTTCCATAGGCCGAGCCAATGAATTGACCCTCAAAATATCCCGTTTCTTTGAAGTGACTACCCTCATGTTTGTGTGTATTCTAGCGCTTCGATATGAGTACGAGAAGCCAATTTGCTGACATGTCGGCACCAAAGTCTAGCTGGTCTTGTGAACTGTCTTGTATAGTAAGCCCTACGAAACAAGGCCAGCCTGGCCGCGAACCAAGACACCCGAGCGGAGGAGAATTAATGTTAGTAGCCAGAACTCTTTGCACGCAAGACCGACGGCCAATCACCATCGGCATCAAGGCCACGGCCGTCTGCAAGTTGCGGACCTCACAGCTCCGCCTCCGGCACCGGGGACGGACGAGCGCGAGACCCACACGACTGCGTGTCGATCAGTCACGATCATCACGCATGGAGGGGCCCCATGAGTCGGGCGCCTGTCATCCGCCTCATTAAATATTCGTCATTTCGTTTCCTGAGCAGGAGAACAGAATCCCTTTTCAGTACGTATCGAAGTCGCAGTTTACCGCTGCACGTATCTCATCTCCCTCATAACAAGATGGCGCCAACCATACACCTCGTTCGCCATGCGCAAGGCTACCACAACCTCTCAGTCGAGAACGAGGTTATCCATGACCCCGACCTGACGGAACTCGGTCTCCAGCAATGCAAAGAGCTCAGGGAGTCGTTCATCCACCACGACAAGCTCACCCGCCTGGTTGCCTCGCCACTGCGCCGCACCGTTTACACAGCCATTAAAGCTTTCGGCGAGGACAGACTGTACCCCATCACTGCGCTGGACCTGCTCCAGGAAGTGTCTAGTTCGCCTTGCGATACAGGCTCTGCCAAGGAGAAATTGGACGAGGAGTTTGGCGACAAGCTCGAGGTCAGGGGCCTGGACCCAGCCTGGACCGACAAAACAGCGACCAGCAAATTCGAACCTACCTTGCAGAAGTTGACAGCAAGGGCTCTGGAGGCAAGACGTGTGCTGCGAGATCTGGCCGGCGACGGTGACGACCACATAGTGGTGACTACTCACGGCGGTATCCTGCACTTCTTGACGGACGACTGGTTTGGCATCCCGTCAGGTCATGGTAAGTGTCACCCCAAACGTTCCTCAGAGTGCTCAGAAGACAGAATTCACATGACAATAGCTACTGGCTGGGGTAACTGCGAGTACCGCTCTTATCAGTTCATTGACCCTACGGGCAAGGACGAAGACGCCGCTCTGCAGGAAACCCCTGAAAGCTGGAGGCGTCGTCAGGGGCTCCGGATTGCTCCCACAAGGACGGAGCAGAAGGAGATGAGGGCGGCGGTACAAAAATCGGTGGCACCGTATCTGCATCTCAATTCGTAGAGCCTTTGCAGGTCGGTTGGACCATGGGTCCTGGGTCATGGCGCAGGATGATAGAGACATAGACAATAGAGACAGGATCGGGAGAATGCGCGCGACGTCTGCATATGTGAAGGCTGCCTGGAAGTCAGGACGAAGCTGGAAGGAACAAAGGGCTTGACGTGGACTGAGATGACGACGTTTCTCAGTTGGCGGCCTAGGCGCAATCGCTCTTTCCCTTTTGGCCGTCACTGGGCGTGAACAAGCCGCATGGGAAGGTACGACAAGCGAGCCCTCAAGTCTCGCTGCCAAATTCTAGAGACTTGCAACTTTGCATTCAATTTATTCTTGTCGTCTCTGCGCTAGAAAAAGCCGTCATCTACGTTGAAACGTACGCTCAGACCATCCCTTGCCGAGGAATAGTTGATTTCCTGCTATATTCAAGATGGTTCCAAAGATCACGGAGAACACGACGCTGCACGACTATTGTGCCGTCCTTCCATCGCCTGCTCATGGTCACCAAGAGTGCGGCTTGACACAGCTGTCACAAATGAACGAGTTTGGCCTGGACTCCGTCGAGGAGGATGATGAGGACCCCTTTTGGGATTTGACTGCCCCCTCTTCGGGTGGTACCCTCGACTTCTGTGGCGACATCCCAGACGACGACTTGGACGCTATTCTACAAACTGGAAGACCTGTTTCTACCAGCAAGAACAATAGACGGGATAGGGAACAAGGAATATCTTTTCTGGATACCTTCAGACCCGTCACACCGAGCCAGACACAAGGAAGACTGAATGGGAGCAGCACTCAGCTGCTTGATCAAGAGGTGACAGACGCCGAGCTAGTGGACATGGACGAAATGATCGACTTGGACGCCTTCTCCATGACCCCTGGATTAACACATAAGTCCTCTGAAGCGCAGACTGGCGACAAAGGCCCGTCTGCATTTTTGCCATCTCAGTCAAGCGATTCAACGATCCCCCAATTCGACTGGACACTCGAGCCCTCTAGGACCTGCTTCCAGTTGGCTGATCTCAAGATCTTGCGAGAGTCTAAACAGTTTGGATCTTCACCCGCTACGGTGTTCGAACTGTTCGCCAGGGTCGTTCATTCGGCGCGGGAGAACTTTGGGCATCGACAATACTTTCAGTTCCAGGATCTGTTGAGGGCTGAGCCGCCGTACGCGACAGGCGTGCTTGCTGGGTGGGAGGCGGGAGGGCCTCTTGACATTATGGCGCAGGACTTCAGGGAGATTCCGCCGGCTGGACGCAAATGCTACTGCCGGTGCAGGCTGACCAGGGAAAAGAGATCGCCATTTGGCTGGGCGCTGGCCATTGTCGATGTTCAGGAGGCGACTTGGGCCAAGATTCGACCGGTCATGGCCGCATTGGGCAAGGCACATTTGCTCGAGCGTGCTGCTCTGGGATGACTAGTTCAGTCCGCGGGGAATACTGCACCGATTTGAGGGTTGCATTGGCAGAGTGTGATGATTACAATGAACTGAATGCGGGTGTCTTGTCTCTTCTCTCTAAAAAGTACGTAGCATCGTCGCAACACTGGTTCGTTCTTCTTTTGTGAACAGATCTCCTCAAGATCGACTTGTTCTCCGCCATGCAATCGTTTTAACGCCTCGTCCTTCCCCATAGGCAACTTCTGCGTCGTAAATGTCCCCAGCTTCACTCCAGAGATACCACACGTAGACGGCATCAACAGATGACGTCGCGCGCCTGTTCCATGTCGGGATCTCCACCCCGAGATGCTTTAGCTCCCCGAATCGCTCGAAGCCATCAACGTCTCCCGAATCTGCCCCTCAACTCCAAAAACCCCTCGCCAAAACTTTATCCATGGAAAATTACTGTGATCGTGCCCCAACTGGGGAACCAGCGCTATGGGCTACGGAGACCCCATTTATACTCATTTCCACCAATAGAAGCGCGCCCTTCGCGTCCGCGCTGGAGCCCCTCTCGCGAGCGAGACTCCGAATCGTCGAGAAATTATCAGACTCGTGAACAGTTTGGAGCCCCCCACTGACGTCGCCGTATCGCGATGCGTTCGGGTTGTCCGTGAGGGCCGTTCGGTACCTGAGGTCGGGCTCCGAGTATTGTTATTAGCTTCACGATGGGGTCCTGTCTTCGCGTACTATCTGGCCGAGGTTCAACTTCTTCATCCAGCTCGTCCCTATTCGCCTAAGACACCATCTGCTCTCGCGACCGAGAAACGAACGCCACCCCTCTGCTGGTTATCCCATATTCCATATTCTGACAACAAGAAACTACGTAGCGCGTCCCTCTCCGACAAAGTGTCTCGCGATCTACCAAGTCAGCCCACAGCCGTAGAAGCAGACGTCAAAACTGCTCAATGGGTGACAATCGATTCCTTCCCCGGGATGTGGCCACAACCAGGGCCGAAAGGAGAGAAGGCTGGTTTGTGGGCAGTATCGACCAAGGGACCACATCAACACGGTTTTTGATCTTCAATGGCGCTGGCGAGCCGGTGGCGAGCCACCAAATGGGGTTCGACAACAAGCACGCACACTCAGGGTGAGCACATCCAAGCCAAAACAATGCAAACGTCGGAGGTTGGATATGAGCCTAACCAAACTCAACCAGATGGCACGAACACGACCCGCTCGAACTGCTCCAAACCGTAGAAACATGCATCGAGAAGGCCGTAGAGCAGTTTGTGGCAGATGGCCACGACGTCACGAGGATACGCTCCGTCGGCATCACTAACCAGCGAGAGACCCTGGTTCTCTGGGACAAGAACACGGGCGAGCCTCTACACAACGCCGTGGTGTGGCCCGATACCCGCACAGCTTCCATGGTCCGCGAGTTGAAGACATGGCCAGGCGCGGACAAGGTCCAGGAACTCTGCGGCCTGCCTCTGTCCACGTACCCCTCCAGCGTCAAGCTCGTCTGGCTCCTCCGACACGACAAGGCGGTTAAGCAAGCGTACGACGAGGGCCGCTTGGTCTTTGGCACGGTGGACTCCTGGCTGATCTTCCGTCTGAACGGTGGCAACGACCGTACGGGCGGACCTATCCACGTCACGGACGCGACAAATGCCAGCAGGACCATGTTCATGAACCTCCACACACTGCAATACGACGACACCCTCCTCTCCTTCTTCAAGCTCGACCGCGCCAAGATCATCCTGCCCAAAATCGTCCCCTCGTCCCACGCCACAGAGTTCGGCGCGCTCGCGCGCGGTCCGCTCCAGGGCGTGTCCATCACAGGCTGCTTGGGCGACCAGTCCTCCGCCCTCGTGGGTCAATGCGGCTTCAAGCCTGGCCAGGCCAAGAACACATATGGCACGGGCTGCTTCCTCCTGTACAATGTCGGCACGGAGCCCGTCATCTCCAAGAATGGCCTGCTCGCAACGGTGGCGTATGACTTTGGCAAGGGCCAGAAGCCCGTCTACGCCCTCGAGGGCAGCATAGCCGTCGGTGGCTCGGGCATCACCTTTCTGCAGAACAACCTGGGCATTGTTTCGAGTCCAAAGGAGGTGGACTCCGTCGCGCGTACCGTCCCCGACAACGGTGGCGTGTACTTTGTTACGGCGTTCAGTGGTTTGTTTGCGCCGTACTGGATTGACGATGCCAAGGGCACAATGTGTATGTCCCCTCATCCCTTTTACCAATCCGTCGTGTGTGCTCGTTACTGAATTTTTTGGTCTTTCTCTAGTCGGCATCACAGCCCACTCGCAAAAGGGCCACTTTGCCCGCGCCACCCTCGAGGCCACCTGCCATCAAACCGCCGCCATCCTCGATGCCATGGCCACCGACTCGGGCCACGCTCTCGAGTCCCTCGCCGTCGACGGAGGTCTCTCTAACTCCGACCTCTGCATGCAGACGCAGGCTGATGTGAGCGGGATACCGGTCGACAGGCCGTGTATGCGCGAGACGACGGCGTTGGGCGCTGCCGTGGCGGCTGGGCTGGCAACGGGCGTGTGGGAGAGCTTGGATGATCTGCGCGAGGTGAACCGAGAGGGACGGTCCGTCTTCGAGCCGCAGATTGGCAAGGACGAGAGGCGGCGGGTCAGGGCCAAGTGGGAGCAAGCCGTGGAGATGTGTAGAGGATGGATCCGCGAGGATCTAGATGATCCCTCTTCATAGACACACGAATGCGAATCATTGAACAAGCAGTCAAGTGGGCTGCATAGAGGAATCATCGTTGCATTCAAGATGAATTGTTCATCATTCACAAAGGCTATCTATCCGACGTGGCTATCGCCATTTGATAGCCGAAACACCTTGCGCAGGCCCAGAAGGGACCCTGCGAAAACAAATCTCCTGTGACTTTTCCATCCGGAACCAAACCACCTCGAGACGCCAGGGAATAGCCACTTGCAATAAAGACAGCAACCGTCGAGCGGTTGACAAATGCAGGTCGTACAGATCAAGCCGGACATGCCATGCTCCATCCTCTCGTTCGCCTCCCATCCCTACTGTAGCTGGTGAATAAAAATAAGTCGAGTTTTCCCGAATATGGTGTGAGTGGCGAGGATGTTATTTTTTTCTCTTCTGTTGCGTAGATTGAGCGTTGCTTGCTTTCAGGTGTCGTTTTTTGTGATTCTCACTAATTAAAGGTATACGTCGTCCGCTCCTTGTTCTTCGCCGCACGGGCTGGCCCATTCTCCGGCTCAGATTCAATGAAAGGCAATGGTCGTGATTCTCTGCGCCTGCAGGCTCACATGATAATGGCCGGGACGTCCACGTTGGCCTTAATGGACTTGTGCGGCAGGACACTGCCGCCGTTGACGTAGATCTCGTCACCAATTGTCACGTCGTCGCCCAACACGGTGACGTTCTCCAGGCGCGCCCAACGGCCGACAGTGCTGTTCCAGCCAACAATGGTCGATTTGACCCACGCGTGGTCCTTGACCTTGGATCCGCGCAGGAGAACGCAGCGTTGCAGACGGACACCGTCGCCAATGATCACGTCGGGGCCAATGGTGACATTGGGGCCAATGCGGCAGTTCTTGCCAATCTTCGCTGAGGGGTGGATCAAGACGTTGCCGCCGTGCACGTATGACTCGGTGGGCGAGGTGAGGTCCTTGCTGCCCTTCTTTGTCAACGAGGAAAGGTACAAGCAGGTGCCGCTGAGGAAGTCCTTTGGTTGACCGACATCCATCCAGAAGCCGTCCAGGTCAAAGGAGTGCAGTTGGTGGTCGTTGGCCATGGCGGGGAACGTCTCCTTCTCGATCGACGTCGGGCGCAGTTCGATGCGCTCGAGCACAGATGTGTTGAAGAGGTACAGGCCGGCATTGATACGGTTGCCGACAAACTCGACGGGCTTCTCGACAAAGCGGTCGATGCGCGAGGGGTGGTTGGGCTTGTGGACAACGACACCGTATTTCGAGGGCTCCTCGACCTTTGTGACGACAATGGTGCCCTCGTTGCCGTGGTTGCGGTGGAACTCGAGAAGCTCTTTGAAAGGGTAGTCGCAGATAACGTCCGAGTTGAGGACAAAAAAGGGGGTGTCGTCCTTCTTGAGGATCTTCTCGGCGAGCTTGAGGGGACCGGCTGTGTCGAGAGGTTCGCTTTCGACAGAGAACTCGATGTTGATGTTGTACTTCTCCTCGTACTGCCTCGTGTCAGATCAAAGCCAACCCCCCAGACCCTTGGGTGCGCATGTAGGAGAACATACCTCGGCGAGGAACTTTTCCATAATCTCGGGACGGTAGTTGACAGCCAGCACAATGTCTGTGACACCAGCTGAGACGAGAGCCTCGATCTGGTGCACGATCATAGGCTTGTTGGCAAACTCGACGAGCGGTTTCGGCAGTGTGAGGGTCTGTTTGTGCGCGCGAGCTGTCAGCCTGGAGCTCCAAATAGGTACGATCGAGCATGCTGTCGCGGGCGCAGCGTGCACACATGGCCACGTACCAAGGGGCGGAGGCGCGTCCCGAAGCCGCCAACGAGAATAAGTCCTGCAAGCCAATTGTTAGCATTTCAACGCTGCGGAAGGAGAGCTGCACGGTGCAGGCAGGCAGGCGCGACGTACCCTTCATGATTGCGGTATTGTGGTCTTGCTCTGGTTCTTGATCGGGAGCTGGGTGGTGGTCCGGTACGTGGCCACAAGAAAGGGGGCTCAAGGAAGGTAGATCTGGATGCGGGGCCGGTTGTCAAAGGTGGTGAAGCTGATGAGCCTTGGTGCAGTTGCAAGCGTCGTTGAGGTTTGGAAATGCTAAAGACAATGAGGTCGTTCGCTCAACGCTACGGAAACAAGCAAGGCACTCGGGCTCAAAAGGTTATGGATAGTACAAAGTGAAGATGAGGTGACCTGAGGAACGTGACATTCCATGCTATGGATTATTGGCGACACTGCCTGCTGTAGCACGAAAATACGGGGCATGCTGGCGCTGCCCGTCAAGGGTCCGCAATTGAACCGACCGACAGCCTCCAGTTGTTTGGACACTGCATTTGGT